AAACAACAAAAATACTAAAATGACAAAAATAATAAATAAACAAGAATTACTAAAACTTTAACTAACATTAACATGAAAGCAGGAAAAAAAATTGAATTTGAAATATTAACAAAAATAAATAAATAATGACATGGTGGTCTAAAAAACTGCATTGAAAAAAAATATATTGAAGGAATAGTCAATATAATTTGCGTATGTATTTTTTACACATTTATTTATTTATTTGTTTACATTTTGCATTACTTATTTATTTACCTATTTTGTAATTATAAACATATTCATTTACTTGTGTAATGCATGGGAGTAAGGAAGGCAGGTGAAAACGGAGGATTTAAGTGCAGGTAGAAGTTTAAAGAAAACAAAACAAAACAAAACCAGACTAACAGCATGGCGATTAATTATGTGCATCTGTATCACAGCAAGCACAGGGGCTATTTACAGACAGGGGCTAACAGGCTAACAAGACACACTTCAGGAACAATCAGGACTAATCAACATGAAAAACTGCATGGGCTACGAACATGGCAACCGGCACAAGAAACAGGAACAGATCATAAACACCAAGTCACAACACAAGGGATATATAACATCTTACTTCTTTACTTAGTTACTCGCCTCATGCTGTTCCACACTTGCACGACTTTCGCTGTTCATATGCGACACAAGAAATTTTGAAGAATTTTGCAACTGTTTTTTTTTTTCTCCATTCAATGACAGTTCATAATGACGCAGTCAAGCTCCATTAAAAAAAAATAAAAACAATAAAAACAGATTCAGTACAAAGGCATAGTGGCAGGTTTGACATGACCAAACACAAAACACAAATAAACAAAACAAAACAAAAAACACAGAAATGAGAAGAAGATATGAGAGCTGCAATGAAGCAGAAGCTTATCTGCAAATAACAGAATAAGTCATCCTTACTCTGTGCTGTTATAATTTCAAGCATTTAGCTCCGAATGTCTGTTGACCTGCATGTGATGTGAACATCTTGTTAAGATCTCAGCTCATCGTCCCTGTCCAGTAATCTGACCCGAGGTCTCCTGTCGAGCGCTGGCCGTGCAGATGCTTTAATTGCAGCTTGTGTTTTGATCGTGTTTTGGCTTTGAGCGAATCCTCATTGGACTGAGAGTCTCTCGGCTGTGTTCTCACTGCGGTTTAAATAGTACAAACAAATCTGACTGTGTACATCTCCAGTTCACTAGCAGAAGCGCTGCCGTCTCAGTTCAGACGTGTGCTGACACGAGGAAGTTTCTCCACAGTTTAATTGATGTGTATTATTTATTCGGGTGCTGTGGCGTGGCCGTGAGGCACAGTGCGCTGAGCCGTAAAATGGTGATATTTACATCATTTGTGTAATTGCCAGCCATTTCAGTCTTGTGTTTATTTTCTCTTCCGCTTGCCAACATCATGAATGCTTCAAAGCAGTTCAGAGAAGATGAAGGCTGTTGAAGGTGCTCTTTCAGGCAGCGGCGGATGTTGTGTTGTTAGATGTTTGAAACTATGTGAGGTTTAGGAATACCTCCCCCCACCAAAAGAAAAAAAGAAATAAAAAAGTAAATCCTGTCAACATTCACTCACCCACATGTAGCTCCAAACAAATCTTTATGTTATGGAATATAAAAGGAGATGTTTTGCAGTGTCCCTGCTGGTCTTTGCATTATAATGAAAGCAGATGGTGACCAAGGGCTGTCAAAAAAAAAAACACCATAAACATAAAACTGTTTGCAGAGTCTTCCTAGTCTTACAAACTAATGCTGTATCTTCTATTAATAAATCATTAACAGACATTATATATATCCAGTAATGTACGGATTATTTTAACAGATGATTTATGTGCATCTGAATGCTTACAAATGTCATTAAATTGGTTGTTTAAATGGTTTGAAATTATTTATATGTCATCTAATGCACATTTTTTACATTCAGTACCTTTATGGGAATTGGACTTGTAGCTACTGTAACAAAGTTTGAGTAAAGAATGATTATTTAATGGTGTTTATATTCTTGCTAAAGGCATAAAAACAACAACACATAACATCAACAGCATATTTTAAGAGAAAAGCTTTGCGTTTACTCATTTACATATTTATCATAAAATATGATTCCAGAATTGCAGTTTGACAAACCAATCAAATATGTTTCCAACCTTGTTCTACAACACTAATGCTGAAACAAGACAAAAGTCAAATCAATGATGCTATCTGTACTTGCGTTCATGATCATATGAATAGAAAGTTTAATAACATACATTTGTAAGCATTTTAATTTAGGTTAACTAACGATCTGTTAATCATTATGTTCAACAAGTTCATTAGTAAACATTTACAAGCACATCATCTCACATTTGTATCTATTTGAATACGTATTAACTAATGATCTGTTAAACATTGTATGATGTTTGTTAATGATCTATGAATGCAATTTATACAGTGTTACCTTGTTTTCATTGTTGAAATAAAGCTGAATTAAAATGTACATATTCACTAACTTCAACGTAAATTAAAATTGGAAATGTTGATTTGGCAACTAACTGAAATAAATTTGAAGTACCGAATTACTAAAATACAACTGAAACACAAAGCTAAATATAATAATAATAATATACTACTACTACTAATAATAATAATACTAATAATAATAATAGTAGTAGTAGTAGTAGTAGTAGCAGCAACAACAACAACAACAACAATAATAATAATAATAATCGTAGTAGTAGTAGTAGTAGTAGTAACAACAACAACAACAACAATAATAATAATAATAATAATAATAATAATAATAGTAGTAGTAGTAATAGTGTAAGTGAGAGTGATGTTTGCCTGAGCAAATGTAAAAAACTTTAGATTAAGGAACACTTATTCACTGTTAGTTGCTTATTATTAGCATGCATATTACTAGCATATTAATGTTTTATTCGGCATGACAATATTTTAGATCCCTTAATCCATCCCATCCCTAAACTTAACAACTACCTTAATAACTTAAGCAGCAAATAGGGAGTTCATTGAGGCAAAAGTCGTAGTTATTAGTTAGTTAATAGTAGGAATTGGACGTTAAAATAAAGTGTGACCAATATTATCTATATTCTAATTCAGTGTTGTTTCAAATCAACCCACGTCTTCCAACGTCACAACTCGTATATCATCTGAAATTCAGAGTTTCACACTCATAAACAGGACTTCGCTCAGTCATTCATGTGCACTGAACTTGTAATTACGCTGGTTCCCAGCTCACATGAAGGGTACATTAGTTTGCCTGATAAATCTGGGATTTTCTGAGCTCTTGCAGAATTGAGTTTGGCTTCCCATACTTTCAGTGTGAGAGATTTGTGGGGTTATTATATTTAAAATAATCATGAATATTTATGGGGGAAATGTTTCTTAGAAATATTGTTGTCATGCACAAATCTGGAAGAAAATCTTGTGTTGGTGTTGTGTCATAATTAATGTTAACCTAAAGCTGATTCGGTCCAGAAAAATGCGGTCCAAATGTTTACAAAGACCTGATATAAATGTGCTCATGACATGTACCTTACTGATCTTGTCAAAACGCTGATTATAAAACAGATAGTTCCGGTCCTTGATTCTGATTGGTTGAGCCGGGTTCGAAGCTGTTGTAAATTACTCTGCAAACATACACCTTTGTTTACTTATGTGTTGCTCGGCAACCACTTTGTTGGAACCACAACTGTTTCTGAGGAACTACATTGTTTGGTGGAAGAATACTGTTTTTATTAATATCATTACACTTTATTTGCTCTGTTTTATTTTGTGAAACCTTACTACGTATATGGAATAACCGTTTTATAAAAGCAATAAGCCCCGTGAAGCCGTGGTTTACAGTGAATTTATAACAGCTAAGGGGGTATTAGGCACTCGCCCCTTAGCTGTTATAAATTCACTGTAAACCACGGCTTCTTGGGGCTTATTGCTTTAATTCATTGGTTAGAAGGGATGGACACCATGTATATTGAGTTGTTTTTTTTTTAATCTCAAATTTGATCCCTCTGATTAGTATTAATCTGGTTAATGTATTTTCAATAATGTTAGTGAATCTAAAAATTATTATTATTATTTTTTTTTTTGCAGGTGAAGTCATTACCTGTCTTGAGGACGCTGAGAGTCTTCAGTCGGTGGATCTGAACGAGTTGTCTGTCACTCTTGATATCTTCGTGCTCACGTTACCTCTGGAGATCGAGGTCATGGCTCCTGACTTCCACCACAACAGGTCAGTGATTGTGAAGCGTCCTAGATTTGGGAAAGAATCAAACAGCGTGGCTCCAGCTAGAGTGATCCTGATTTTTCTCTGTACATGTGTCAAAGACGAAAAAGGGTTTAAGCATAAAAACAATAAGTGTAATACTGCTTTAAATTGTTGATGTTTTCCCCAAAAATTTTTTAAAAAAATTCTGTTTAGTTTAATTGCAATTTTGTTTTTGTTTTTCTGAGCAAAAAATAAATATAATACATTTTTCCCTGATTTACAGAAGAGACCCACTAAAATGTCATTCAGTGTAACAATCTTGTCAGGAATATTTACAACAAATATCAATTTATGACATATTAAAAGACTAATTACGTTCACCCCAAATACTAATTAGTTGTAATTTTACATTTTTAAAATGTCCCACCATCCTAGGTTTTGCCCATTTGTCAGTAAGAATTTTTTACTAAAACCACAACTGTTTCTGAGGAACTACATTGTTTGGTGGAAGAATACTGTTTTTATTAATATCATTACACTTTATTTGCTCTGTTTTATTCTGTGAAACCTTACTACGTATATGGAATAACCGTTTTATAAAAGCAATAAGCCCCGTGAAGCCGTGGTTTACAGTGAATTTATAACAGCTTCGCATCGTGCCTAACAATGCCCCTTAGCTGTTATAAATTCACTGTAAACCACGGCTTCTTGGGGCTTATTGCTTTATTTGCACATCCATTTTTAGGTACTATGCATTTTTGCTTATGTATAACGTCCCCCTCTCTCTGTTTCAGAGGCGTAATGGTGTTCTGATGTCGCCATACTCAGTGACGTCATCAGTAGGCGAGCGTCGATTGGTTGCGTGGTTTCAGGTGGGCGGAGCCCAGCGTGGAGAGCAGGATCTCTACCGATGCCTCACTCAGTCGACGTACGGAGCCGCAGTGTCAAACTTTGCTGAACTAATCGTCAGGGGTATGAGCGGTGTTTCTTTCAACTATATCCTAGGTTTATTTATTTGCCAGTGTGTTATAACTTAATATGTGTTACATAAGTCTATACCGCAGGCTGTTGGATGCTTAATGCTGATTGGTTGGTGCATGTTTTAAGGTGCGCAATTATATTTTAGGGAAGTAATTCTAGGTCTTTTGACGGCAAACTCCAAACTCTCTTTCTTGGCAAAACAAAACAAAACGAAACGAAATGAAATGAAATGAAATGAAATAAAATATTTTTTTACTATTATATATTAATTATTATTATTATTATTATTATTATTATTATTATTTCATTGCATTGTGACAAGAAAATTTAGCACATTTCCCCCAATTTTCCTTCTCATAAATAAATAAATAAATAAATAAAAATCTCAGTCTCATTAGTATGTTGCAAAAATATATTATTTAAAGGGGTCATATGACGTTGCTAAAAAGAACATTATGTTGTGTATTTGGTGTAATGCAATGTGTTTTTTTAACCTTAAACCGCATTTTCCACATACTGTACATTATTGTTGCTCCTCTATGCCCCGCCTTTCTGAAATGCGTCAATTTTTACAAAGCTCATCGGTCTGAAAAGCGAGGTGT